CCCTATATCCTGCCATCAAGTCTGAAAAAGCCTATAGGGGAGACCTGAAAGCTCAGGCTGGTGTCTGAAAGGTCATTTTAGGGAAAGAGCTTGAAACAATTAAAGTGTCTGTGGAGAGCCGGGGAAATCGACTGTTTTAACGGAACAAATCGTCCTTGAAGCTTGTTTTGACATTAGTGGACTTTCGGTTTGAGCTGCAGCCCTATTGGTCAGTGCAGGTTATTTTCACATTTGCCTCCCTTACACCAAATTATTATAAGTCACACCTTTGAAATAGTTTTCAACTTATGTTATTACTAAAATGTTGAAAATTTAACAATGTTAGATTCGTGATCCAGATCCTCAACAAAATGGATTCCTTCCACCAAGTTTTGAGGCAATTCGTCCTGTTGTTTGTGGTTTTTGTATTTCAAACAAACACTCTGGGCTGTGTTATGTCTCTCAGAAACAGTATAGTACTGTATAGGCTATAGTATAGGCTACAATTTTTCAACAGTAAGAATGTATGTATTTTCATCTTCGAAATTTCAAGTTGTCAGAAAAATTCACAGTCTCTGTATCCAAAGTATATTAGGAGTCAAACAGAGACAGCAAACAGAGTATTTTGATACTGGACCATGATTATGAGACAGAGATATAGGCCACAGTAAAGAGAGAGATAGAGTGAAGGAGAAGAGCAGTCTCACTGTGTTTTAATAATAAAGCTTCTTTGATTGTATATTCAGTGTCAGAAAAATATGGCCATTGATAAATTGCAGTGATAAAGTGAAGTAATTTGATAGTAGAGTATTTCAATATACTGGAAGATGCAAATAATCGTCACCCTTTTGTCATGTGACCGATGGAATAGTAGAGCTTCTGCTACATAGCCACATTTTTACACCAGAAACACAGATTCACTGAAATACATACTGAAATAAAGTCTAACACACACACACACACACACACACACACACACACAGCAGTAGCCAGGGATCCCAGGTGTAGGACGGATGTGAAAAGCTTTGTGTTTTGTCAACAGCACACCAGCACCTCACATGACTGCCCTCTGCACTCACGTCGGGAGGGCAAGGCAAGGAGAGTGGAAGCTGAGAAGAGGGAAAACGGGTGGGATAAAGGAAAGATTGGGAGGTCGTATGTGAGAAAGAAAGGGGAAAGGGAGGAAACAAATGTAGTGTTTGAATAGTGGAAGAAAAGGCTATGTTCTTTGCATTGTGAGGGTTGCATGTAGAAAAAGGGCAGAAAGGGGCACAGTAAAAAGATAGAGAATGAAGAAGAGGAAGGAAACGAGTAAAACAAAGTGAGAGAGTGAGATGGAGAGAGGGAGGGCTAGAGTGAGGGTGGAAAAGGCCAGTGGTCTCTGCCCCGTCCCCTCTGTGTGCTGCTAAACTGCCCACCAGTTCCCCGCAGCTCTGTCACTTCTCATTTGTTAATCCCCTGCTCTTCTCCCCCTCCTACTCTTCCTCGCTCCCTTTCTCTCAAATCGGTCAGTTGTTAATGTGACCCCTTTAAACCCCACCGTCCTCCTCTCGCAGCATTGTCAACACATTATCAGTGTGTACTAGAGATACATTTAGAAAAGGAAATGCTAGATGGAAAGTAACTAGAATTGTGTGGAAAAACGTAGAGAACTGTATATTATGAAATGTATACATTTATATTGTTTTGAATTTTTGTGTTTTGAGGATGGGAAACTACTTTAACTTAGAGAAAAGGAAAACATAATGGCTCCTTTGTCTAACACTGACAAGCTTTTTGCTAGAAAACCAATGTTTCTCAGATCAGATTTCTTTTTAATTGTCCGTGCAAAATCAAGCTTATCATGAGTGAGATAAATAAGTCAGACCACGTTATCTATTCGACAGCATTTGCTCCTATTAACACAAAGGAGAACGTTGAAGATTAAATCAGAATTTAATTGGAAAGCTACAGAATTTGAGTCTTTCTAGTAGCATTAGATGTACCTTTTCTTTCTTTGAGCATTTGGCAACTTTCTGTTTCATGAATGTCAAAAATCATGAGTTCAACACTGACAACAAAGCACAGGGAAATATACAGAGAGAGAGGGACAAACAGTTTTAAAGCACATGTGTGCATGTGCACACATTTCTGGCTTGTGTGTAGTAATGCGTGTGTGTGTGTGTGTGTCTCTGTACATTTGTGAGCTTTAAGCGTTCATCCCAAGAGGAAGTGCTTTGATGTTTTGTGAAAGACAGCTGAGCTCAGATGAAAGGGAAGATACCACCCATTATCTTACATTTGACTGACAGCATATAACCACCCTGAAAATACACACCACATTTCCAAGTTTCCATCTAATCCAGTGTGGTGTTCAGAGCAGATAGTTTACCAGTCTTTCTTACCATTGAGTGAGCGAGTCTAACTGCTGTATGTTCACTTCAGAACGTCTAAGTTAAGCCATAACCAACTTTAAACAAGGCTTATATGTGCTCGCTAGCTTTTATCCAATATGCTAAAACAAAATAATCTACCAAAGAAAATACAGATAATAGACTTGTCTATGTTTACAGCAGTATTCTGACTGTTGACCTTATTCTGATGATGTTTAGGTTGCCAATAGAATATTCCATTCATATTCCTGTTAACATCTCTGATTATGACCCAGGTCAACATTGACTTGTTTACATTCAAACCTTGGCATGTATGTAAAACAGCATACATGCCCTAACCCTAACCCGCAAAAAACTTTGACAATTTTGAAACATAAATAATAATGCTTGATCAAAATATTCATTACAATTCACCTACATTTTGACCATGGTTGTACAGTATACAGTCTCTTATATTAAGCAATTCTAGTTAGTGCTTAGACTTCCATGCTTCATCCAAAGTTGAAGTATTTCAAGACGAGTGCTATGACTAGCATAAATGTAGCTAAATAAGCTTTTTTAATGTAGAAATCCAGGAGCAACAATGATGACATCTCAAACATTTTGGCTTTCATGCTTTACACATTTTTGAAGAAGACTAAATGCAGAAACGCCTCTGTCTCTTGTTGTACTTAAGGGTCAGTCCAATTAAAATACCCCATTACGTAGCCTATAACTAAATGGATGAGATGAGGGTTTCAAGTTTACACGTGCATGTGATATAATTGGAACCATGCATCGCACGTCCAATTCTAAGATTGAGCGAAACGTATTTTATAATAGAGTTTGTACGTAGCTCAAAGATGTAAAGTTTCTGATATGACAACCAGATGCAGTTATCATACTTTAAATTCCTAAGGAGTTTATATGAATCACTTATGCTTCAGCATACAACTTTCAATTTAAGGACAGTTGACGTTTGCAGAGAGAAATCAAAGTGTATGATTGTTTTATACCTTGTAAGCGCGCCCTTTCACACACATTGTCTATTGTGTTTATTGATTTTCAGTCTTTATGAGAAGCATTCACTGAACTGGAGAGTGAGATGTTGAAAGAGGAGTAGAACAGATTCTGTATCTGCTAGTAGTTTTTTTTTTTTTTTTTCGGAGAGGAAGGACTCGTGCTTATTTTGGACGATCTCCACTCGCAGCTGTTGAGCATCTGGTCTCAATAATCACGCTGGAATGAATGAAAATCTTAAAAGCCATGAAGAAAATATACTTCCGTGATCCTTTTTTTTTCTCCCTCAAGTGACAAACAGGTGCCCTTTTGAAATAGGATAACCGGGGAGTACAAGAGCTTCGTTCTAGTTCTTGGGAGCTGTATCGGTTGTGAGCATAAAAAAAACATCTGCTGTGAGGGAATTCATTTTACTGTATCAGGTGTTGGAGCTCAGTTTCCTTTTCTTTTTATGTTTCATATTTGTCTCCAGTTTTCCCCGTGACTTTTATATTTATTTAGTTGTATACACATTTTTATTATTATTCAATGGAGTCAATGTCCGTTTCACTGCAGTGAGTTAGATTATGATTCTGCTCAGTCAGCCAGCTCATGTGGGATGGATTAATGATGTAAATACGGAGTTAGATACTTGACATCTTGGCTCTAACCTCGTCGCTCCCTGCAATTGTACGCTAGTGCTGCAGAGACTAGGAAGTAAAGATATTAAACTTCGGCCCTGGAGGAACTCACAGACCTACAGATGCATGCTGATGGAGTCTGGGCTCACGAAGCAAACTGAACAGCATAAGCAGTGGCAGAATTTGAGCATTAACCTGTCATAATTCAATGCCAAAGAACACAAAATATTTACAATTATCAAGTAGCATCACAACCTCAACTAGAAGGGCACTGAGTAAAGAGCATATCTTTGTCAAGGTCCAACAGTCCTCTTATGAAACCACATTTAAATTCACTAGATGCAGATTTTTAATTGGATCAGCACCCACTCAAAAATATCGACTTCCTAAACATGCCTGATTATTTTCTTCAAGATCCATAAATTGTTCTGGGAAATCAAGGCAAATTTTGAAAATGCCCAATATTGCAATTTAATAGTAAGTGAAAACAAAACTCCTGTATTGGGTTCTTTCCTGACAAATACCGCATCCTTCCGCCAAGTTTCACAGTAATCCGTCCACTAGTTTTTGTGTTATACTATTTCTTCGTAATCCAAAGAAAACATCATCTTCCTGGCGTAGATAATCAGACAAACAGGGACAGAACAGAGCCAATACACTGGCTCACATGTAAGAGTAGTTCAAGCTTGCTTATGTTGGCGGTGGTGAGTCCACAGAGTGGGGTCAGTGTATAGACAGTTTAACAGCAAAGGGTGTGGTGGATATATTGGTATCAAGTAGAGTTGATCATTCAGCGCAACTTGAAATATCTGCTTGAACAAGCTCAGTGTGTAGGATCATCTTCTGCCAATGATTTACAGTATCTCTTTCCTCAACCAAACTTTATTTGAGCTTCACATATAATGAAACTCCCCCATTTGATGTGTTACTGCAATCACATACAGATATTCTCAGTTCTTTGATGACAACAATGTTGACACAGTTATCCTCCAGCTCAATTCCCTGTTTTCTCCTCCTTTGTGTTTTGCAGGCAACATATTGGACAGTATGCTGCTAAGAGCATCCAGTAAGGAGGCGGTGGAGAGTGGGAAGGAGACAAGTGGCAGCACAGCGCCTGCTTTGTCCTCCCAAAGACTACTGTGGTGTCACTGCTATCACCACTGCCCAGAGGACTCCACCAACAACACCTGCAGGTAAGGAGAGCAGACAGAGTCATGCACAAAAAGATCGAAAAGCATTGTTTTATATTGTATATATTATATATATATATATTATATTATATTGAATTAAATCCATTTCACTATGGCGTCATCAAGATGTCATTAAAACCATATGATTGATGAATGATTGGTTGCCCTAAATAACCTGTAGATCATGTCTTTAATTATTTTAGTTGCATAAGTGAATGCACTATTATTCTTTCTGACATTATACCTGCCATATGTTTTTCGATCGATACAAGCTTCATGTTGTCTACAGTCCTAGAAGATGAAGCAATATCTCAAAAAGTTAGAATGGTAGTGCCAAGTTTTATTATATTGTTGTTTTGTGACTGGTGGAGAATCATTTTCGGATGAATATAACTGAAGCCTTTTCAGTTATATCTTGGAAAATGTAATTTTTTTGTTGAACTTGACCTTTAACCTCAACTTGAGATACACTCGTATCTAAGTAATATTCCCACGAAGTCCAGTGTAAATCCATCCATGCATTTTTTACTAGTCTTTGGTTATGCGTCCACAGACAGTTGTCATGGTGACATAAGCAGCTGTTCTTACTGTAGCTGAACCTTGTTTTGCAGGACCGATGGCTACTGTTTTACCATGGTGGAGGAGGAGGGAGGGGTACCGGTCCAGACTGCAGGCTGCCTGGGGCTCGTCGGGTCAGAGTTTCAGTGCCGGGTAAGTTTGGTGATGACATGTTTCACAACCTTTTCCTTTGTATCTTCCATCTCAGATATTTGTAAAAGATTTTCTTAATTTAGATGGCAATTAGATAAAATCATAGGGGACAAGTCTAGGTGTTATCTTAGACTCAGATCTGAGTTTCAAGGCCCCTCTAACAAGGAGGACAAATTAGGATTTGTTCACCTTAGAAACATAGCAAAGATCCAGTCATTTATAAATCAGACAGATGCTGAAAAGCTGATTCATGCCTTGATTTCTAGCCAAATGGATTACTGGAACATTTCTCTTTGCTTCAGCCTGTAACTAGATCTTGCACTTGCCCACCCTTATATTATTCATCATTTGCTTTCTTTTCTGTTTTTATGCCTTTGTTTTAATTTAAGGTATTTTCATTTCCTTTTTATTTCCTTTTCTTTTTAATGTCATTTTAACATGCCCTTAT